CATCAAAATACATAAAGTATAATCCTGTGGATGGAGGGTTTTTATATGTATTAACTTAGACACCTCCTTGAAGGTTGGTGATGTTCATGAACTTTAGAGCCTATCTGGTGGTCACAAAAAATAGATTTTGCAGGCCCTCATGATAATGTAAAGATTTAAACTCAACAATGGATGATAAAGGTCTGCTGTCAGTCCATCAATGGGCTGAAGATCTTACTACCTTTTCTGTATTTGGATACTGCATCCAGCAGTAATCAACTGCCACCAACATAGCTGTAGAGGCTGCATACATGGAAGCATATGCATAAACCTTCTTTTCTAGAATGGTCAAACCATCTACATAAAAATCTTAATAAACATTATGAATAACAAAAATGGAAAGGTATCATTCTCATTTGTAATATGCACTTCTTTCTTATGTGTAAAAGATCTCCCACATGAACACATCCATAAGACATACCAAACAGCATAAGCAATCCGAGATGCTGTAGCAAAGCCATCTCTGGAAACTCAGTATATTTGATGCGGCTAAATGTAAAAGCGCTTTGTTCGCAGCCGAGCGCATGGAAAGCACAGCAGTAATATAAAGGCAGTGATTACCGGAGATGTCTAGACTTGGAGAAACTATGACCTCACTTACGACAATCCAGTATTTATTTTTCCTTTTTATTAAAGAGAGGTATACAAGGCTTCATGATCTTAAAATGCTAGGTTGTGGAGAGACAGGTAGCAAGTCTGAATTATTCCATGCAGCTGAAAGCGACTGATTTTCAGCATCTTGATTTTCCAAAACTGAATTCAGCCCTTACCGGTTACCATTTCCTTTTATCAGAACATAAGAATCATGGCCCAAGTAGGTCTCACAGTGGCCAACCAAATGCCTATTGGAAGACCACAAGCAGGACCTAAGCGTAACAGCGTTTTCTCCTCATGCAGTTTCCAGCAACTGGTATTCAGAAGTAGACCATCTCTGACTAAGGCAGTAGAAGATTTCCATCGGAGTTAGTAGCTTCTAATAGCCGTTACCTCCATGAACTTGCCTAATCCTCTTTTCAAGCCATCCATGTTGGGCCAATAACTCGGAGCGAATTCCATAGTTCTGCTCTGTGTGAAGAAGTACTTTCTTTTATCAGTTCTGAATCCTCAAACTTCATTTAACTTCACTGGTTGTCCCCAAGTTGTAGTGTTATGAGAGAGGGACAAAAACTATTCTCTATACACTTTCTCCATGCCATGCATAATTTTATACCCTTCTATGATATCATCTCTTATTTGCCTTTTCACTACATTAAAAAGTGCTAAATGCTGCACCATTTTCTCAAGGGAAGTTGTTCCACCCCCCTTGATCATTTTGGGTACCCTTTTCTGAACCCTTTCCAACTCGGAAATATTATTTTTGAGGAGAAATGACCAGAACAGTATACAGTACAGTGGTACCTCAGGTTAGGAACTTAATTCGTTCTGGAGGTCTGTTCTTAACCTGAAACTGTTCTTAACCTGAGGTACCACTTTAGCTAATGGGGCCATCCGCTGCTGCCAGAGCACAATTTCTGTTCTCATCCTGAAGCAAAGTTCTTAACCTGGGGTACTATTTTTGGGTTAGCGGAGTCTGTAACCTGAAGCATCTGTAACCTGAAGCGTCTGTAACCCAAGGTACCACTATACAGGTGGATTACAAGGTAGGGATGGTTGAGTTTATGCAATTTTGCTCATATGCACAATTGCCAGGAACATAACCTCTGCATAAGATGAGATCTACCTGTATTGCAGTCACTAGATTTGCGTAACAGCATCATAGTATCAGCAGCTTTATGTTCAGTTCCTTACCTAAGGATCCCTAGTATGGGATTTGTCTTTTTCACAGCTTCCAAGCACTGGGTCAAAATCTTCATGCTGATATAGGTCAAATGGTACTTGTCAATTGCAAACTTGTATGGTTTTTGGTTTTTTTTAAAGGGAAGGACTGGTATTTTATAGACGGTAAGGCCCAAACTATGCTTCTTGTTATATCATCAACTTCATTTGCTGTCCCCACCACAACTGACAGCCAAATGAAGCATAGAAGGGAATGGTAGCAGGATGATGTCATGTGGTTTCAAAAGTAAACATTACCAGTGAGATGCAAGATGAGGTGACTGAAATAAGCAGGGTGCACATCATCTATGGGACAGGAAGCTTCTTGTTTAACAACCCTTCAGCCATGATCCCACTAAGTTCCAGAGGCATTACTGGGAGGAAAGAGATGGTGGCCTCTACCAAAACAGTGCTTCTGGAATGGCACGATATTATGACATATTGGGTTAGGAGCTAAATGTGGTTTAATTTGCATTTCTCTCCATACCCCACAGCAAAATGTGAAACCAAATGCAGCTATCTTTTGATATTTGCACTTCTCTCAGTTTTCCTGGTTCTCCAACAAGGAAATAAAAATGCATATAAAGGGGGGTATAGCGATATAATTTTAATTCTATTAGTGTTTATTTTTTTTTAAATTGTTGTATTTTCTATGTTTTTAACTTTGTCCATTTCATCTGTGTTTTTGTATTTTTATCTGTAGGTCACCTTGGTCTGGGGGAAAGCCGGGATATAAATATAGTAATAAAATTCATTGTGTTAGGGAAAGCAGATTACGAAAAAGTGAATATCAGGCAAATTGCATAGAAAAATGTGTATACAGTGGTGCCTCGCAAGACGAAATTAATCTGTTCCGCGAGTCTCTTCGTCTAGCGTTTTTTTCGTCTTGCGAAGCAGCCCTATTAGCGGCTTAGCGGATTAGCGCTATTAGCGGTTTAGCGGCTATTAAAGGCTTAGCGGCTTAGCGGCTAAAAGGCTATTAGCGGCTTAGCAGCTTAGAAAAAGGGGGGGGAGCGAAAAAAATCTCAAGACTCGCAAGACATTTTCGTCTTGCGAAGCAAGCCCATAGGGAAATTCGTCCTGCGAAGCGCATCGAAAAACGGAAAACCCTTTTGTCTAGCGGGTTTTTCGTCTTGCAAGGCATTCGTCTTGCGGGGCACCACTGTATTAGGAGAATTCTGCAGTGAAATGTTGATGAGACCCACACAGGAATGAGTTTATGCATGCCAGGGTTTCTGGGTGCAAGACACCCATAATTCCAGGATTTAGTAAATATTACAATTTAATCAATGATTAGAGAGATGAATTGAGAGTCAGATTCTTGTTAGATGGACAGCTTCCCATGTTCAAAAGATCCTGGTTCAATCCCTGGCATCTTCAGGTAGGACTAAGAATCCCCCCTGCCTGAAACCCCGCAGTGCCACTACTAATCACAACACTTAGCTAGATGATGGTCTGACTCAGTATAAGACAGCTCCCAATGTTCCACAGGCTTTTAAAATGCCAAGTGGATAAACTTTATGCAAACAGTCTTTTCTCCTGCTTGCTCACAACCAGGACTACTAATCCAAAACTTTTAGACATGATTTTTAAGGAAGGGAGTGATTTTGCAGTCAATGACTGTCCTGCTCTGCTGTCAGAGGAAACCAATGAAATGAAAATAAAGTGATAATATACTGTAGGATAGTTAAGAGACAGAAATGCAGGGGGAAATCGTAGCCTGGGTCTCTACAACAATTCTAATTACAGTGGAACGTAATCCGTTCTGGAAGACCGTTCAACTTCCGAAACGTTCGACAACCAAGGCACAATGGGCGGCCAGCAATTTCAATAAAGAAAATGGAGAAACGTGCCTTGGAAGCCATTCAACTTCCAAGGCGCATTCAAAAATGGAAGTATTCACATCTGGGTTTTTAGTGTTCGGGTTCTGAATCGTTCAGCTTCCGAGACGCTCGAAAACCAAGGTTCCACTGTATAGCAAGGGATAGCCCATGAATTTAGATGTTATTGGACTCCAACTCCCATCAGCCCCAACCAGCAAGACCACTGATCAGGGATGAATGGAGATGTAGTCCAGCAGCATCCGGAGGGCACCACATTGGCTACCCCTCTCATAGCATAAAGTCTCAGCCACATCAGGAGGCCCTACTTAATTATCCAAGAGTACCTCTGTGTACAGATATCTTTCTCTATAAGCTTTCTTATAGATGGCCTCGGCCCAGTATATCTGAAGGAGCGTCTCCACCCCAATCGCTCAGCCCGGCACTGAGGTCCTCCTTCAAGGGTCTTCTGGCAGTTCCATCACTTAGAGAAGTTACAAGTAACCAGGCATAAGGCCTTCTTGGCAGTGGCGTCCTCCTTGTGGAACACCCTCCCATCAGATGTTAAGGAGATAAAGAACTACGCAGCTTTTAGAAGTCATCTGAAAGCAGTCCTGTATTGGGAAGTTTTTAATGTTTGACATTTTACTATGTTTTTATATGCACTGTAAGCCACCCAAGAATTGATGCTTTTGAATTATGGTGCTGGAGGAGACTCTTGAGAGTCCCATGGATTGCAAGAAGCTCAAACCTCTCCATTCTGAAGGAAATCAGCCCTGAGTGCTCACTGGAAGGACAATACTTTGGCTACCTCATGAGAAGAGAAGACTCCCTGGAAAAGACCCTGATGTTGGGAAAGATTGCGGGCACAAGGAGAAGGGGATGACAGAGGACGAGATGGTTGGACAGTGTTCTCGAAGCTACCAGCATGAGTTTGACCAAACTGCGGGAGGCCGTGGAAGACAGGAGTGCCTGGGGTGCTCTGGTCCATGGGGTCACGAAGAGTCGGACACGACTAAATGACTAAACAACAACAAAGCCACCCAGAGTGGCTGGGGAAACCCAACCAGATGGGTGGGGTATAAATTCTTCTTCTTCTTCTTCTTCTTCTTCTTCTTCTTCTTCTTCTTCTTTCTTACTTACTTAAAGTACCCCTACTATGGACCATTATGAAAGTGGCATATATTTGCCTTGTATACATGGGAACAGAACTTGGTGTATGTGTGGTGCATTGTATATAGCATGTTTGGCAGGGAAACAAGCCATAGGTGACTGTCTTATACCAAGTCACAACAATGGTCCACTTGGCTCAGCATTTCCCAGCCCTGCCTGCCAAGGATTGAACCTGGGACCTTCTGCATGCAGAGCAGATGTTCTACCATTGCGTTATGGCCCTTCACTTACAGCAGTTCAAAATCCTACGCCATTCTCCAGCCCTACTGAATTCAATGGATAATAGGCAAGACAACTACCGTATTTTTCGCTCTATAAGACGCACCAGACCACAAGACGCACCTAGTTTTTGGAGGAGGGAAACAAGAAAAAAAATATTCTGAATCTCAGAAGCCGGAACAGCAAGAGGGATCGCTATGCAGTGAAAGCAGCAATCCCTCTTGCTGTTCTGGCTTCTGGGATAGCTGTGAAGCCTGCATTTGCTCCATAAGACGCACACACATTTCCCCTTACTTTTTAGGAGGGAAAAAGTGAGTCTTATAGAGCAAAAATACGGTAACTCTCACCATTTTTATGAAGATAATATGAGAAAAAGTTAGATTATAGCTCAACCCTGAGCATTTCAAATGACTGCTTCTCAAGATATGTAAATATAAAGTAAACACAAAATTAGTATTAGGTAATTTTGCAATCCACTCTTCTTGGAAACTGATTTGGCTCTAGCTTTTGGATCTATTTGGGTTCTCTGCTGGAGAGTCCCAGGCTGCCATTTTCCTCTAGATTTCTGGCTTAAATATCCTACAGTATATTATCACTTCATTTTCATTTCCTTGGTTTCCTCTGACAGCTGAACAGGATAGGCACTGACTGCTAAATCACTTCCTTCCTTAAAACAAAAACAAAAAATCTGTCTCAATGTTTGGGGTTGGTAGGGGGAAAACCAGAAAGCTACCCTCCAGTTGTCTGCTGAGTTAGATCCTAAACTCAGAAACTGAGATCCTTATTTCCTGCCCCAGATTTCTCTTCACTGCCAAGAAATGAAATGCATTTGGAAGAAGAAAAGCAGTTTATTTACCAGCAGAGCCACATGTAGATTAAGACATTTTTGCTCTTTCTGCATTCAGTGCTTATTCCAAGCACATTTTTTATTTATTCTCTGTTGATCCCTTGGAAAGTTAGCTTTCCAAATTTTAATCTCAGCATCTTTCCCTACCAGTGTAATCAAGTAAAGAGAGCACTACTTTTTTCCCCAAGAACCCACTACCTCCCCAACCTTTTATCATCTTATACTGAGGAAATACAGATGTACGTTTAAGAGAAGGATTAGGCCGGTAGCATCACTTTATACTTGCTTGCATTGAATTGCATTTTCTATTTTACCATCCATTCACTCTGTTTGGAGAGGTTGTTTTTGAGCTTTTTAATGTCCCAGAGGAATTTGCTAACGTTTCTTTCTTTTTGTTCTCTTTCCTGTAAGACTTCCATTTTTAAAAGGATGCTTACTTGCCCCTTATAGCTTCTTTGTCTCTTCTTGTTAACAACATCAGCATCCTCTCGGTGCTGGGAGTAAGGCAGGCATGTTCAAAGTCCGCCTTATTTGGCCCCTGTAGCAGTTTATTTCTTGGGGCCAAATCCCAAATCCTAAAAAAAGCTCAACAACTTTGGTCGGCCGTCTTCAAAACTAGCCCTTTTGGGCACCCCTGGGGTAAGGTAAAGGGTAAAGGTACACTCCAGTTGAGTTTATAATAATGCGTTTTTAACAACCCCCAAGCATTTTGGAGAGATTTGACCCTTTTGACGTTGCCTAGCAACTTCATTTTTTACTAATCCCCTTGTTTTGGGGAAGTTTTCTCTTTGGAAGTCAAATGACTATATTGGATTGTCTTGGCAATTGGCCATGTACATGTATATTTAATAGTAAATGTAGCTCCGATCTGGTGGAACGCTCTGTCACAAGAGACTAGGGCCCTGCGGGACTTGACATCTTGCAGGGCCTGCAATACAGAGCTGTTCCACCAGCTCCACTCCCTCCTTTGGCAATCCTCACAGAACTTCTAGGCCAATGGTTGCCATTAATTTGATTGGGATTAATTTTATAATGAAATTATTTTAGAATGTTTTATCGTTTTACTGCTGTTAGCCGCTCTGAGCCTGGCTTGGGCTGGGGAGGGCGGGATATAAATAAAATTTATTATTATTATTATTATTATTATTATTATTACTATGGTCATTGCGTTCAATTGGCTCAACAACACTTACATCTCACACTTGAGTGCCAAGGTCCAGGGAAGCTGTTCATCTGGTCGGTTTCATGACCAACTGTTCTAGGGCGCAGTCATTTAGGGCACCTAGAATGTTTACATCTTTGAGTGCAACACATAGTAACTAGTCTATGTGAGGATAGTTGAAGTTGCCCATTACTACAAAATTTCATTCTGCATCTCAAGCTCTCGCTGAGCATTTTGATTAGGGGGATGAGAGCATGTTCCCAGTACTAAATTACTCTTAAGGCCTGATATCACCACCCACAACGACTCTCTGGAGCAATCTGCCCTTTTGGGATTTCCAGGTTGCTGCACTCAACGCTGTCGTTGACATACACAGTGGTACCACCTCTGGTACATCATTCTCTGCTTTTACTATAGAGCTTATATCAAGACATAATGATGTCCCACTGGTTCTCTCCATTCCACAAGCTTTCCACCAGCCACTATATCAATGCCAAAACCCGGTGAGCGGGGGTTGGGGGGAGAGAGAGAGAGAGGAAAAAATGATAATGTGAAAAAGCCAAAGGAAAATTGGACAAGAAACTTTCTTTTGGATTATTGGCATACAAGGGTATACAACTGTATATATACATATAAAAAGTAGATGATGGAAAGTTTCCTATGTTAAAAACATATTTAGAAACAGTTACATCTGTTCTGCAAGCAGAGGGGAGAATGCAGTGTTCAAAAACTCTACAGGTTCCAAGGTGGCGTTATGCCAGGATGTTTGATTGAGAGGGAAGGAAACACAATGCATTGAAACACTGATATTTTATGTTCGAACCAACTTCAAACCCATGTTTCTCATAGTGCAAAGATACTATTGCAGTAGTAACTACCGCAGCTTTGGCTGAACTTCCCTGGCGGCAAATCCCAGCCCTCTTTTCCTGTTTATTTGCATAGGACTTCAAGGAAGAAGGCCAGGGTAGCAATCCCTTCAAGGCCTTTGCGATATGTCTATCCTATCCACAAATCCCACGCTTCTCACACCTATTTGCATAGTTACAGCACCAACCAAAAAATTACTTTGACCAACCAGTAGCCTGAACAGCAGTCTAAATAAATAATCATTTCTGGGGCTTAGCAGTAAAGGAAATATTTAAGAATATAAGGAAGAGCCGGCTGGATCAGGCCAATGGCCAATCTAGTCCGAAATCATGTTCTCCCAGTAGCCAACCAGAAGCCTGTGGGGAAACCGCAAGCGGGAATCAAGCCCAAGGGCACACTCCCCTCCTGTGGTTCCCAGCAGTTGGTATTCAGAAGAATTGCTACCTCAGATAGTGGCAGGAGAGCATAGCCTATGGATAGGCAAACTAAGGCCCGGGGGCTGGATCCGGCCCAATTGCCTTTTATATCCGGCCCATGGACAGTCCGGATTTCAGCGTGTTTTTACATGAGTAGAATGTGTCCTTTTCTTTAAAATGCATCTCTGGGTTATTTGTGGGGCATAGGAATTCATTCATTTCCCCCCCAAAAAAATATAGTCCGGCCCCCCACAAGGTCTGAGGGACAGTGGACTGGCCCCCTGCTGAAAAGGTTTGCTGACCCCTGGCATAGCCATTATGGCTAGTAGCCATTGACACCCCTCTCCTCCATTGTTGTTGTTGTTGTTTAGTCATTTAGATGTGTCTGACTCTTCGTGACCCCATGGACCAGAGCATGCCAGGTACTCCTGTCTTCCATGGCCTCCCGCAGTTTAGTCAAACTCATGCTGGTAGCTTCGAGAACACTATCCAACCATCTCGTCCTCTGTCGTCCCCTTCTCCTTGTGCCCTCCATCTTTCCCAACATCAGGGTCTTTTCCAGAAGTCTTCTCTTCTCATGAGGTGGCCAAAGTATTGGAGCCTCAGCTTCACGATCTGTCCTTCCAGTGAGCACTCAGGGCTGATTTCCTTAAGAATGGATAGGTTTGATCTTCTTGCAGTCCATGGGACTCTCCAGAGTCTCCTCCAGCATCATAATTCAAAAGCATCAATTCTTCGGCGATCAGCCTTCTTTATGGTCCAGCTCTCACTTCCATACATCGCTACTGGGAAAACCATAGCTTTAACTATACAGACCTTTGTTGACAAGGTGATGTCTCTGCTTTTTAAGATGCTGTCTAGGTTTGTCACTGCTTTTCTCCCAAGAAGCAGGGGTCTTTTAATTTCGTGGCTGCTGTCACCATCTGCAGTGATCATGGAGCCCAAGAAAGTAAAATCTCTCACTGCCTCCATTTCTTCCCCTTCTATTTGACAGGAGGTGATGGGACCAGTGGCCATGATCTTCGTTTTTTTGATGTTAAGCTTCAGACCATATTTTGCGCTCTCCTCTTTCACCCTCACTAAAAGGTTCTTTAATTCCTCCTCACTTTCTGCCATCAAGGTTGTGTCATCTGCATATCTTTGTTGACATTGTTGATATTTCTTCTGGCAATCTTAATTCCAGCTTGGGATTCATCCAGTCCAGCCTTTCGCATGATGAATTCTGCATATAAGTTAAATAAGCAGGGAGACAATATACAGCCTTTTCTCCTCCATTAATTTTATCTAATCCTCCTTTTAAGCCATCTAGGTTGGTGGCCACTACCACTTCTTGTGGGAGAGAGTTCCAAAGTTTTTAACAACGTGCTGCTATACAACCGCCCTGGTATTTCAAGGCAGGATTTCAATAAATACTTGAAACAGAAGCTTGTAGAGCTCGGAAAGCTGATAGAAAACTTTACCAGGTGGAGGAAGCACCTTGGGGAAATGGGAAATACAGGTCAAGGGGGAGGGATGAAAACGTAAGTTTTACTTAGGATGGATCTACTAAAACTAACAGTCCTGACTTCATTTCAAGCCATTCATTTCAATAGGTCTTTTTCTGAGTAAAACAGTTGAATGCCACCCAGAATAAGGGATCTTTGGTAGGTAGTGGATCCTGCCACAAGGCTGGAAACTGGGGCAGCTGGATGGGACCATGCCTCACTGGG